ACTTATTTAAGATATAAAAGCAAAGCTTATAGGATGGCTAAAACGAGCCAATCAAAGCACGCGTTATAAACACTTATTTGAAAATGATTGCTGATAAACTGTTAAACTTGAAGGCTTGATTATAAATTGTAAATATACTGCATACTGCACTAGAGCTAATTGTAATGTGCTAATTGTGCCGATAATCAAAGCTCAAAGTGTACCACGTGACATTTCAAAGGACAATTTACAGCACTATTTTGCTTCAGGCTTTACTACAAAGTAGTGTGACTTATTCTTTTCTTCATCATCGTCATGTTCAAAGACTAGAAATAATATTGYGTTTTTCACTTATATATCTCTAATCCTTTTAAAGACAGTGTGATTCCCATACGTTAATCTTATTCGGTGTTTTTTCAGTTTTGAATATTCTACAAACTAGTGAGGATAACCTGAGCAATAGAAAGCTGAAAATTGCAGCATTGAGTCCGAGTTTTAAGCCGCGGTTACACGAGCGATTTTTCGCTTGCGCAGGCGACGCAATTTTCTCAAAATCACCAGCGCACGATGTGGCTACACGAGTGACAATGCTGTATCGATCAAACAAATCCTCACAAATACCCATTTGAATCTCCATAAAGAGGTAGATGTACAAAAACAGCTCAAATTCGATGTTCAGCTTTCATCGTACCTGAAAATCGCRTCGTCTGCGCAAGCGAAAAATTGCTCGTGTAGCCGCGGCTTAAATTTGTGTGCTTAACATGCTTCATCGAGATGGAAAGCCGCTGGTCCATCGAAAGCATTGACCGCAGATTCAGGAGGAGGCTTGTCGGTGTGAGACACATTTTCAGCTCTAGATTTTCTTGATTTCAAAACCTTTGCGCTAATGAGTTTGACTATAACCGCTACACCAATCACTACCACAACACCGCCTAAAATACCAAGACCAATAGCCATGCCTTGAGCCTTTTCCTCAGAACCTGACACGCAAAAACATATGAAAATTAGCCTGGATTTCTTAATTAATTTCATTTAGTGATCAGTTTTTGCCCGTTAGCTTTCTCTAGTTTGTTTGCGTTTCATTGGTTGCTTGGTAGTTTGCATTGAATTGAATGTAGCGTGTGTAATGAGCTCACTTTGCGGTACAAGGCCGAAACGTCGTCACTAGTAAAAAAAACATGACATCGGTTTTGCGCTTAAGAAGAAATGTCATTCATTTACCCATTCAATCATTCATTCGTTCGTTCGCTCTAGCTTTCGTTCTTTTGCTGCGTATTTGTATAACCAGTATAGTTCAGTTGAGTATTCAACCTCTTTTATAAAATACATTACCTTTGTTTTGGTCGCTTTCACCGCCGATTTTCTGTCCAGAAAGCGGACCAGTCGATAAGTCGTACGCATTACTGGTATCATCGTAATCTTTAGCTTCACGACGACGTCTTCTTGAGCCAATACAACCTTGTGAACACCTCGAGTTGGCAGAGTTAAGATGACAAACCATCAGATGGCAGTGAAGATAGACTAGTCTATTGTTAGTGTGGAGAAAACGGAACGACTTGATGGAAAACCGCTGTTCAGAACTGGTTGAGTCATAGTTGTAAATCATGGTGTCGTCCTTGGGGCAGCTGTTCAACAAATAAATACATTTTTTATTTGACTTTAATGAGAGAAAGTGTTCTTTATCCTATGTCTCCACTATAATGTCAACATGAATAACAACATCATGGCCAGTTTTGCTTATAATTTCTTAACTTCAAAGTCATCTGCACTCTGGCGTCGACGAATGGGGAATCACTGGCTTTGGTAGCAAAGAAAGTAACAGTTTGATCGTTACGTCTGTACACCTACCCGTTTGTTAAAAACTCGTACTGCGGAGTTGAATTTGGGTCCGTTGATAACGTTGCACGACAATTCTCAGCAAACACCACCAGATTTCCAATTGTGTTGGTGACTTTATATTGTATCCAAAGTGTTTGATCAAGGGCCACAGACACAGGATATTCATCCTGCTGGTACTTTTCCTGGTAACCATCAGACTTGTAGATATTCATCATGAACGTGAAGTTACCAAAGTTTCCTGGAATATCAATCGATCGATCAATCAAATACGACTCGTCAAACTCTGGATGTTACTCAAAGCAGTTTGATGACATTGATAATCAGAAATRTTCAGTGATTGACTGACCTTCAGAAGCACGAACTATCTCTTTTGAMGCATTAAAGCTAGTACTAACGACTTGTCGTCTGTTATATTTGCAGTGAAATGGTAAAACAATGATACTATCACGTGTTATTACTGCAGATTGGTTGACGTGGCTTTYATCATCCATCACCTGACACAAGATAGCAAACTTTATCATGTTATCATCATTGTACTAAAACACCGTGAAGCAGAGGGGCCACAGGCTCTTTATCAGTAGTTGTTATGTAACCAACCCTCCCCTCTATATTTTACCGTTATTTTTACGATTTTCTATGTTATTGAATCGTGAATTTCTCACTTGGATTGCAACGAAATCACACAAAACTCTTATATCCTCCTACTATTGATGCATGCAACAATCCTCTGGAGAAGTTTTAGSCGATTTGGTTGAGTTTATATACTTTTTTCTCCCCACCAAGCAAAGAAGTTCTATTTTACCTTATTCTCAAACATCAGCGTTTCATTGCCTTCTTTAGGAATAGTACCGCAGCCTTGTAAAGCTGTACGGAGAGTAATCGTGTTGCCAGTATCGTTTGCTCGACATGCTTGGTCATTGAGGTGAAGATTTCTCCAGTMAACGTTAGGAAAGTACGTCTTGTATAGCACTACCTCCATGTAAGTGGATTTACATGCAACTTTAGTCATTAGATCTAATCAAAACAAGAACGCGAACAAATGAAGAACTAGATTATAACAAATTAAGATCTTTATCTATCATTCCCGGATATAGCACAGCAAACTATATGTATATATTCCTCTCGATCACAACAATATTTACTTATTTCGCAGTTGGGCCCGGTAAAACCACGTAAGCAAGTACAGTAGAAAGGTCTACTCGATCCACCACAGATTCCTCCATTGAAGCACGGCTTACTGTTCACACAGTCTGGGGATAATTACAAAGTAATGTTAAAACCAATGAATATAGATTAATAGTAAGTGACTTGCATGAGAGACCACTTCCACATTAAATTCCAAATATTTTAATGTGGAGGTGTGCATGTCCGGGCAGACACTGGTGAAAAACGCACTGCGCATGTCCACAGCTTTCCCGCTGAAATCTGCCTAATTTCCTTTTTAAAGCGAAAGGTTTTTGTGAAAGTTTTTTTACAATTTATAAGCTCGTTCACCGATATATAAGATTCATATTTCCATCAATCATTGTTCATGATAGGTCCTTTTAGTATGTAGTTTCTATTTTTATCTTGTCATTTCTATTTTGAGAAAATGAAGTTTTTCGTAGTGTTTGGCTGTGTTGTCGCTGTAAATCGCCAGGCGTGCCATGCGCTCTGTTTACAGATTTCAAGACGCGAGCGCCCACTGGCGGGAAAGCTGTCGGCATGCGCAGTGCGTTTTTCACCAGTGTCCTGCGGGCATGGTTTAAATTACAATAAGCCTTTAATAGTTGACAAGAGTCTCCAGTTAAAATACCTTTGCAAAACAAAAGAAAGCAAGAAAAATGCCGTCATTACAATACCTCTAGACATCTGCATTTTCTCCGACTTGAGGCTGTATTCCCAGAAGTCTTAAGATCTCTGCTCAGCCTCAAATCGAAGAAGATTCAAATTTCTAGAGGTATTGTAATGACATCAGTTTTTCGTTCTTTCTTTGTTTTTGGTGAGGTCTCTGCGCAAGTCATGAGTCTGTTGTCTACTGAAACAGCGGCCGCTCGAATAGATGAGGTGACGGTTTTGTCCGCCATTTTGGACCGGTAGGCATDGTGTYRSAAAATAACAAGGAATGACCGGGAAATCGATGTCAAATAATTCTCGCTGAATTCAAATTCAGAAAGAATTATCAATTGCAAACGTTAGATACTACAAAAAGGAGCTGACTGGCCAAATTTGAAGGATGTGCTTCGTCTAGGGAGCGAGAAAATTTATTTTTAGTTCTCAATACATTTCTTTGTATTTTTCACGCGCGTCACGCACTGATGACCCCGGAAATTATAACGAAATGTATTGAAATTACAAAGAAATGTATGGAGAACTAAAAATGAGTTTACTCGCTCTCTAGATCAAGTACGCCTTTCAAATTTGGCCAGTTAACTCCTTTTTGCAGTATCTAACGTTTGCAAATGATAATTCTTTCTGAATTTGAATTCAGCGAGARTTATTTGACATYKATTTCCCGGTCATTCCTTGTTATTTTGCGACACTATGCCTACCGGTCCAAAATGGCGGACAAAACCGTCACCTCATCTATTGAACGGGAAAAGGCTAACTGACTGATGCATTAGCAGCCTCGCAGTTCTTTTCAATTTCGCCAATGGGAATGATGTGGATATTAGATAATAGAGCATTTTTTACTTATTTATAACATGCTCAATATCAAACAACAAGCAACTGATATGAATCACAACACTTTTAGTACCTGGTGAACAGTAGACGACG